AGCAGACCTCGTGTGGTAAGATGAGCTGAAAGCAGCTCTCACGTACCTTCCACTCCCTTCTTGCCGGCCCAGATTCATCCTTGCAGTATTCAGGTGGATCAGGCTCCCAGTCACTGACCTAAAAGGTCTAGTCATGGTTCCTTCTCCTTCACTGGATGTTCTGAAACGATAGGAGCTGTTGCTTTTGGTGGTAGGAGGAGTCCCGCCAGCAACACTCTCAGTTCTAGATCTTCTCTGCAAGCCTGTCTGGCTAGGGGGTAGGTTGCCCAAGTGCCTCCTGGTGGTGATGAAGGATATGGGATTGGTACCACTGCCACCACCAGAAGACTGGCTCTTGCTTCGGGGCCTGAACTCTGCAAAGGCCTTTAGAGCTTTCATGGTATCCAGAAAAGTCTCGTGCATATTTTGGGCAACAACTGAATCATCCACTTGCATCCAGAGTTCTCCAGGTCCAATAGAGGCAGATCTGCCCACTTCAATAAAGAAGAAGTTCTCTGAGTGTCCGCAGCGGCGAATGTTCATAAGCTGCAAGTGAACAGAGGGCACCTCCGAGTTCAGCTTGACAAGGTGGATGGCCTTGCTGGAAAGGCACAACCTATACACTCCAGTGAGGTTCTTTGTTTGTCCCAAGCCTTTGGGCTTCACGTTGACCTGCCATACCTCCTTGAACACGGTGCCAGGCCTCAGAGCGGCCCCGTAGTGCTCATCATCCTCATCCACCTGCTGATCAGCGTGGTCCTCCTGCTCCAGAAATCCCCTCTTGCTCTGATTCATGAGCTCGCTGATGGCCTCGTACCAGGCCTCCTGCTCGGCATCGTTCTCGGCCAGCATGGCAAAGTACTCATCCTTAGTGTACAGGGCGATGATGTGCTTGTGCTTAGCGTCGGCCCGGCGGCTCACGGTGAAGCACTGGTACAGGGGGATGACCCGCTTGGGTGGGGGGCAGCACAGCGCAGCCGCCCCGCCGGCCCCCGCCGGCCGCAGGCTGCTCTTGAACTTCTTCTCGCTGTCATAGTACTCCAGCCGGGCGGGGGCCAGGTGGCTCTCGGCCCGCAGGACGAAGTAACGTTTGTGCCCGTGCTTCTGCTTCCGCAGGTACCCGCACTTCCTCACGTCCTCGCCGGCGCCGCGGCCCGTCGGGGGGGGCTGCCCGCCGCGGCCCGCCGAGGAAACGGCCCGGCCCGGTGCGGAGGCGGCCTCGGGCGCCGGGCACAGCGAGGTGCTGGGCGAGCGCCGCAGCAGCAGCATCAGGTGGTGCGGCTGAGGGGACGGGCAGCGCCCGCCCTCGCCCGCCGCCGGCTCCCCCTCGCCCGCCGCTGCGCCGAGCACGCTGGGCTCCCGCTGGGGCGCGGCTCCGCCTCCCGTATGCCGGGCGCCCGGCTCCTCCTCGTTGCTGCCGCCGCCGCCGCCGCCGCCGCCGCCCGGGCCATTCATCCCGCTCGCCATCTTAGGGACCACGCAGGGTCCGGTGCCGCTGGGGACAGGACGGGCAGCGGGAATCCACGCTCACCGGAGAAGCGCCCTGTTGCATGGGAAGCGGGCGTTGCCTCCTGCGCCCCAGCCCGGTCCCCGCTTCCGGCAGTCGCTCGGGCCACTCGCACTCACGGGCGGCGGCGGCAGCAGCACGGCGAAAACATCACGTGACGCCGAGGAAGGCGGGGCCGCGGAGGGCGGGGCGCCCAGTGCGCGGGCCGAGGGGGCAACGGCGAGCCGACGGGGCCGCGCGCCAGAGTGGCAGTAGCCGAGCCAATAGCAAAAGGCAGTCCTTCGCCAGCGAGCCAATCAGTGGGCGGAGCAGGGAGGAGAGACAGGTTTCGCTACGCCCTGTTCGGGGAGGAGGGGCTACGGCGGACGGACAACGCGGCGGACCAATGGGAGGTGGCGGCCGTCCCGGGCTGGCCGCGACCTGCAGGGGTGTTTCCTGTGCGAGGGAAAGAGGCGGGGCTGACTGTGATTGGCAGGAGTGTTGAGCGGCGGGTCTGACAGCCAATCCGCGCCTCACACACATGGACAGGGGAGGCAAAGCCGGGGAGCTGTGTATTCAGCGGCGAAAGTAAAGGGGAATGTGGGGCCTTGAGAAGATGGGCAGGATGCTTGCCTAATCAGCGCAAAGCCCCGGCTGACGAGTATTACCGGCTGACGTTGAGTTCGCCCGGTTCCTTCGGGGCGGGGCCCGCCCCTAGCGCGCGGGGCTGGCGCCGGCTGCCGTTGACCGGCCAGGAGGGCGCGCGGGTGGGGGCGGGGGCTGAGGGCAGGGCAGCAGGGCTGGGTGGGCGGTGCGCGAGCCGCGGAGGAAGTAAACAACCTGTCAGCGCGGAAGCGGGCGGCGGGGTCGGCTGCGCAGTTGAGTTGAGTGGGGTACGGTGTACAGTGTACGGTGTACAGTGTGCGGTGTGCGGCGCGCGGCCGCTCGTGTCTCCCCACAGAACGCTATGTCCGATCTCGGAGTTTTGCTTCACTCGGCCTCACGGACCCTATACATCTCCTCAGCCTCCAGAGCCCCCTCAAAGCCCTCACAGAATTTCTCATAGCCTCCGCAGCACCCTCACAAGCCCCCATAGCACGCTTAGAACCCTCACAACTCCAGAGACCTCACAGCGCACTCATTCCCCACTTCCTCTGCTGGCAGAGGCAGCGCGGTGTTGTTGACATGCAGTGGGTTGTTTATTTCCGATGCACTGATGTAACTTGTCTCGGGTTCGGGATTGCCCGGTGCCAGTCGCAGTGGGGGTTGGTGGGATGACAATCCGTGTTACTCTTGTTACTATAGTGTGCTTGTGGGATGCCAGCAGGCCACTGACATAATTCCTAGGGTTTTGGTCGAAATGCGAAGAGTGAAGAGCAAATTCATTCTGTTTCACAGTTAATGGGCACTTGTGTGTCGTAAAAATCTCTGCTCCATCTAGATTAATTGTACTGATAAAATACAGCGCTGGATGTCATTACACGTACGGCTGCCCCACCATTTCAGAAGCAGTGTTGGAGGGCAGGGAGCCACTTCCAGTCCTCTATCCACTTCCCCAACACTTTCTTCGTCTGGTAATTAATTCCTCCTTTTGCCAGCTCGCCTATGTGCTCACAGAGGACACTGTCCAAGTTGGTGGGCAGAGCACACGGCAGGTCCGTTACAGCCCAGAACCCAAGCCATGTTCCTGTGCTGTGGTGTGGGGGTGCATAAAGTGCAGGGCAGGGCAGGGTGTTGGCCACGGATGCTTTTTCTGGTGCGTTCTCACTCTTAAGAAAAGCGTCACTGCCAAAGGTACGTTTTATTTGAGTTAGGAGTTTGTGTGCACCAGTGATGTCAAGTGTAAAAGTAATCCTTTTCCTGTAATACAACAGCAAAGATTATTTTCCTAGCCAGTAATTTTGACCACAGGTCTCTATACTTTCTGTCTTGATTTGCTTTCAAGGTCATTCTTGGGCTACCTCACCTATGATTCATTATGAGATGACAGCTCTCAACAATTCCTGACACCAACTTCCGTCATCCACTTATTTTGTTTTGGGATAAATAGCTCTATGTTTTCTTTCATTCTGCCTCTCAGGTGTGGGAAAAGATATTTTTGAAGGCTTCAGGAACTCAGTTTGGAAGTTGACATGCCAAACTTTGTACTTGCCATATTGATTGTTAATGTCTCTTTTTTTTCCCCATAATTCTCTACTCACTGCCTGCTCACAGTGTTCAAGCTGCACTCTTTTTGGTTTATGTTTTTACATCATATAACATTGTATATTCCTGTACATTATTAGAATGCCTAAGTGTTACGGCAATACAGTAAATAAGTTGTAACTACAGAAACGTAATTTTTCCTAAAACAAGAATTATTAACACTAGAAAACTGAGATTAAATATAGTTTTTAAAGCCATTCAGACATGTTGGCACAAAAACACACAACTTAACTCCCCATTAGTTAATGGTGTCATGAATTAACTATACAATTATATTGCATTATATTGTTGATAGCCCTTGGTAGAATTAAACTGGTTTTTGAAGATTAGTTCCTTTTATTTTTTATTCTTTTCTGCCTGGTCTGTCAGTTTGGCGAGGCTGAGATTTCTGCAATTGTTCATTGTGTACTTTTACATGAGAATTTAAAGTGGTTTTAAATATATAGAGCACGGTGAACTTTGTTCATTGGATGCTTATTTGGGCTGGTTGCTGAAGTTTATACTTGGGAAGAAGAAAGGAACACTTTTGAAAGAAAGGGCTTGGGTTCTCTTTTTTGTTTATGGGGTTTTTTTAGTCATCAACCTCTGGGCTTGTTTGACAGTAAGGATGAATAATCTGTCCCTGTAAAAAGAAACGTACCATTGTATTCTGGTCTCTTTTTAGGTCCTTTGCGCTTACATTGCGCTTACAGTGTTTTTGATAGGGAGTTGAGAAAGTGACCTATGCATAATTAAGTTATGCAGAATTTTGGGAGGGTGAACACATGTGATCAGACTCACAGGGACCTGCAGAAACAGAATTAATAGAAATGGATTTTCCCACTGGGTTCTCTCTGGCTTAAAAGGAGTGCTTAGTATTCCTGAAAACTTAATTTGTTCATGTTTTCCTATGTGACTACTAAAAAATACTTATCGAAAGTACAAGCTAATCTATAGTTTGCATAGTCTTTCTCAACTTTCATTAGTAAAAAGAGCAACTATTTGTTTTCTCTCTCTTTGAATATATATTGTTTAGAGTCTTTTGTGCAGTTGTGGAATCAAAATTACTGGTTTCCTGTAGTTACAATTTTTATTTTTTAGCTTATATAAAACATTTAAGTATACCTGTTAGTGTATGATACCCTTCTATTACTGAAATAATTATTTTGCTATGGGATTGGATCTAATTTTACTATCTTTATTGTCACAAATTATTATACTTTTCACAAGCTTCTCTAGGTTTTTTTCTTACTGTTTCTCTGGCTAGTTGTAAGTCACATAGCCATAGTTTGCTCTGTAAAGTCTATGCCCCACTTTTTATATAGAATCAGCTTTATATTCTTCAGTTTTGCTTACAGAAACCAACATAGCCTGTGCATGAAATGTTTCATTAGCTGTGGGTACACTGTTTTTCAGAAACGAAAGAGAAGTCAAGATCCCCTCCACATGTCTCTTGATCTTTGCCAGACTTGAAGAACGTGTAGCTCTTAGAGCTGGAGGTATGTTTGCTTTATGTTTCATGTATTTGTTCTTTCTACCCTACCAAGTGTCTGCATGAGGCAGTCACTATCAAAGGCCAGAAATTTAAAACCAGTTTTTTGATTACAGTTTCCACAAGTGGCTATAATGTCTATAATATAAAGCAATTAAGCTACTGGTAGTCATATTGTTGACCCAAATGGAGGGCCAGATGTACCATCTGTGGCTGAAGTAATGAGGAACAAGGAATGGGTTCCTGTAGGGATCTCTGAAATTCTACAAGGAGTGATATTATTAATTTAGTTAAGATATAAGAAGTAAATGGTTTTGGGTGTGATGTTGCGTGATTTATTGCTCATTTTTTCTAGTTACAACAGCCTATCTTATGCCCATCTGTGGAAGCTAAAACAGGGAGTACTGTGGATTTAATTAGCTCCATATGCAGTTTGATAACCAAGATGCCTTGGCAAGAGCAAACCGAGCTTTGAAGATTACAAGAAGATTGGATCAAGACTGGTGACAGGAAAGAAGATTGAACTAGGTAGAAATATAAAGTTTGTCTGGGTGATGTTTAACCCAATGAATGTAGTAAAAAATTAGTAGCCTTCCTAAAAATGGTATATAAGCATATGTAGCTCACAATAAATTTGGATTCTGATCACGAGTCAGTAGTCCCCATCTCTCTCTCAATTGTCGATACCCATCCTCACTTACATCTACAGGAGTAATTACCCATAAAAAAACAGGAAGGAAAGCAGTTTTGTTGAGTAGTAAAACACAATCCTGGCTCAGTCATACTTGTGACATGTTCATAAAAGAAAAGTAACAGGAGAAATTACCTCTGTAGAAATTTATAATAAAAATATCCCAGAAGTATTTAGCAACCAAAGGATGGTAAGTGAAAGGTAAGTTAACAGTTTTTAATTGTATGCGTTACATTTTTACTAATCATATATTTCTATACATTTGTGCAAAATAAATTAATGTAATTGTTCATAATGCATATTTATGGCCCAAACTCTTCCCTCATTTTAACTTTACATCTCCAAAGTAGTCTGCTCTCATTAACTTCTTAGTAGTTCTGCTCTCACAGTAGGTCATATGATTATTTTTACAAGAGGCAAAGTTAGCTTACAAAATCAAATAGATCAGTGGTTTTAAATTACCAGTTATCATGGGTTATTCTGCAGATGGAGAAACGTCCCTGTCCATTGTATGTCAGTGGAATAAGAAAATGAAATTATTGTGCCATTTCTTAACCAAGATCCAGAGGACGTAATACCCTCTGTTTAAGGTACAAATAGGGAGTTCTAAGTTGTCACTTCAGTTTGTGGCAGTCTTGCCCTAATTCCTTGGGCAAATCTCTCCCTCTATGTTGTTTCAATCTCTTGGTCATTTAATGGAAATAAGAATTCCTCCCTTTCTCAAAAGAGTGTTTTTAGAGATAAAGTCTGTTAATGACAAAGAACCACACACATTTTGCTATCAAGGGTTGTATAAAATTATGTTAAAGCCAACCTGAGGGCTTCCATCATCCCTACAGTTGTGTAGAATCCACTGTGCAATAAGAGTCCTCTACACATGCATTTCCTGCCATAAGTTACATGGGGTCTTATGTCTCTCATCCAGGCCTTCCTTGCTGTGTTGAAATAAGATGCTGGAATCTTCACAGCAATTGTGATGTTGCTCACTTATGAAAATGTATAGATTTGAATTTAAGATTTTCAGGCACAAAGATTAAAGGCAGACATATTAAAGAGTTGCCAGTTTAAGTTAGAGGGAGCTGTGGGTGCTCAGCACTTCTCTGATAATGAGGATTTGGTTGTTTACTTGTTCCATTATACTCCTTTCACCATGCAACTAATCCTATCACATCATTGTCTACAGAAATACTCAGACGCTTGGTTTCTTTGCTGTTCTGTATAATTGGGGATGGTGTCACCACGCAGTGAAAAGAGCCACAGAATGCTGTTTTTCAAAGGCATACGCACGCATTTGCACATTTTCTCACTGGGTCATGAATGAATAGTAAGATTATTCTGCCTGTTTCTTTTCCTATTGATAGATAGTTGCTGTTTGTGATATATAGATTTAGGATTATGTGCTATATTATGCAACTCTGCTAGTGAAAGAAACATAACTGTACCCTCTTGCTGGACACAGATTTGGCCATATATCCAGGGGTCATTAAGATAGGGAAGCTACTAAAGCAACCAGACTCTTCTTCACTAATTTCACAGATTGTCTTTGGAGAATAGCAGAGTGGGACAGAAACTAAAGATACCCATTTATATAACTGGAAATGAAAATTATATAATTAATATCACTTTTCAACTATTCATGATAATGAGCAGACAGGACTGTTTTTGTAAATCAAAAGCATTTTTTTCCCAAACTGAGTAGAAAAGAACCTTTCCTATTACCTTCTTTGCAGTACATCGTGTCTACCAAAAGGTGTTTTATATCAATTAGCCAGTATGTCTTTAAGTCTTTGGTTTTGAAAAAATTATTAGTAGAAGTAAATGCCCTCTAGACAGTTTATAAATGAGAAGTTTCAGCTTTTTGCACAAGTTTGATGAATTACAGAATCCATCCTCACTGCCTGAGTAAGAAAAATCTGGGACTGTGTTCAGTGAAAGACTGACATGACTTGGAGAAGTGAGTCTGCTGCTAGATGCTAATTGCCCACTGTTTGGTGGTTGGTTGATGATGTAGTCAGAATTCCAGGCAATGCCTCTACAGATGCCACAGGCAAAGATGAGGATCGCTGCTCTGGAGGTGTGGCTCCCAGGGTCGGCAGTGTGCTGAGCGCTGCTACTAAAGACTGGGCTGATAGACTGTGTCGGCGGGGTTTATAGGACTTGTAGTCATCTATAGCAATACCAGAGAGTGGGATTAATTTCATCTTCCCCCACCAAAAAAATAAAGGCCTTTTTGATGCCCAAATGGGGATAGGAGGAATTTCAGATAAGGACGGAGGAAAAGGTAACGGACCAAACATAGATGAACTATGCCAGAGAGGGAAGAGCAGAATGATTCTGGAGCATTTTGGTAGTTGTAATCGTGGTGAAGCAATGAGGGAAGTATTGTCTGTAACTTTTGTTGGTGTTCATGTTATTTTGACTTCAGTGCAGGAAATTATTTTGGTTGATGTAAGTGAAGTTTGTGATGAATGTGTATTTTAATGATAGTTCTTAAACATATGGTACCCAGAGGTGAGGGATGGAATGTGTTTGGTTTGCTGGCAGAGGCACTGTGGTTTTGGTGACATGCAGTGGGTTGTTTATTTTGGTAGGTTTGGGTAGCTGGGAGTAGGGGCTACACGGGTGCTTCTGTGAGGAACTGCCAGAAATTTCCCCCATGTCCAGTATAGCCAATGCCAGCCCACGCGGTGCTAGCGCCTCAGGGATACTGTATTTAAGAAGGGGTTATTTATGTATTTAAATAAATGTATTTAAGAAGTGTGATTATGGGTTTTCTCTGGTGGTCGTCCCTGTTTCCATCTCAGAGACGGCGGAGCTTGATTCCGCCAGTCTCTTTCTGAAACTCCCCGATGCTCCTTCATCTCTTCGCTCGCAGCACTACCAGCAGTATGAGCCATTCAGCCTCCTCGGCCACCGCTCGATCCGCTCCTCCCGCGCTGCCACCCGCTCCCTGGGACAGGCTCTGGCACCTGGGCGGCGGCGTGTTCCCATGGCAGCTCTGTCGAGGGGCCACGGCCGTTCTGGCGAGTGCCGAGGACGTGACTTTGTACCCGTCCCGTTGGGGGAGCGCCGGGCGGTGGCCGGGAGCGCCTTCGGACCCGCAGGGGCGGACGGACGGCGCGCCCCGCTTGAAGCTCTCGTAGCGAGCTTCAGGGAGTGCCCCTGGCTGTGGGAATGCCGTGAGCTCCAGAGAAGTCACAACTTCCGCTTCCGAAAGGTGCGGTGAAAATACTTGCGTCGGTCTGTAAGGAACTATTTTAAATGTGTAGCATTACACCACAGACATCTCGGACAGCATACATACTGAATACGCTTCTTTACAGTTTGACGTCATTAGCAGAGAGTGGTTGCCTTTTCGTTAATATATATGGGTCTGGTTTAATTATTGCAAAGGGAATTAGTACCCAGTGCTTTAGTGCCCCTCACAAAGTCAGTGCTTGCTTGACACATTTGAGAATGGAGGGTGAGGATGATCTGTTCCAAGAAGGGACAAAATGTGGTCATGCCCGCTCGGAGCGGCTCAGTGAGAAGTTGTGACTCAGAAACATCCTCTGAATCATATTCCCCCCGAGCTTTAGCGTTGCACAAGTGGGGAGTGTGCCATCAGACCCTGCCAGAGCACGTTCCTTCCTTCGTGTCCAGCCAGCTCCCTATGCTGACACAGAAGGGAGCAGAATGACGATTATTTTTCTTGCTGACCCAAATTCCCTCCACTTCTCCACTTGCTCGTGGAAGGAAATAATTTCTCTTCAAGGCTGTCTCATTAATTTAGTGCCCTTAGCACAGCTTTGAGGAAGGGTGGCATAGAATGTAGGAATGCCTTACTACTTCCATGCAGAACTCTGTAACCATCAGATGTCCAGAGTACAGTTTATCTGCTGATGTGTAGGTAGGTGAGACATTCTACTTACTTGTCAGCTCTGAAACTAATGCTTGTTCCTTGCACACTCACTTTTCATCCTATAGGAGGTAAATCTGTCACAGTGAGAAATTATATCAGCAACACATACATGACTTGCAAAGGACCATTCAAGTTTGATTCCCAGCGGACTTGGCAATAATCACCAATATGATTAGACAAATCTGAGTTCTTATGCATTTTTAAGCAAATGAGTTGCACTCACACAAAAACAAAAATAAACTTTTTGTCAGTTAAATTTAAGAATTAAGACTAGCATAATCAAACAACCAGCCAATCAGCTGATTAAGCTCTGCAATGACTTCTAACAGATTCAGGCAGCAGATTTTGCAGATGAACAGTGATTTACCTGTAAATAAAATTGAGTTTAAAGTACTCATTTGTTAATATTAGATCAGCTAGCAATGCAAAGATCCATTGTTCTTGAGGTCTAAACAGGTTAATGATTCTGGTAGGCAACTAGGAATCAAGCACTGAGAATTCCTAATTTGGTAGCAACAGTAATTCTTTGTGAAGCCTGGCAGTGAATGGCATTTTTTTTATTTCTTGGTTTATGAAGAAGGAAAATCTATAGTAAATAGGATAGTGTGTGTTGAAATAGGTTATTTCAGTCTTAAACATCTATAGTTTTCTAGTGAAATTTTCAGAGGGCTTTACCTGAACCATTTACTTAAGGGACAAATTATGCCCCTGGAAAGAGGAAATATATAAGGAAATACCAATTTGCTCAGTTTAGCCTGTAGGACAGCTTGGGTGAGTAGGTCTCACCAACAGAGATATAGATTGTACAATCTAATTTTAAGTATGTAACTTGAAATTCCATTCTGTATGATCGTTACACCTGCATTTGTTCTTCAGAAAGAGCTTTCACAGATTCACAAGCAGTTTTCGCAACAACTAAAACTTTTTACTAAAGAAAGTAATTAATAGTAAAGTAGTAAAGCCAGGAGAAAAGTCACATGGCAATAAACTGGAAGGACAGGAGATTGTTGCTGAGTGTTTTCTGCCTCCTGATATTCAATTGTTATTCTTGCTAATC